TACGTGGATGTAAGTAAATGCAGATGGTTCTGCCGTACAAGTACGTGGATGTACGTAAATGCAGATGGTTCTGCCGTACAAGTACGTGGATGTACATAAATGCAGATGGTTCTGCCGTACAAGTACGTGGATGTACGTAAATGCAGTTCTGTTGTGCACCTCCTCAGGTGAGACGGCAGAGCTGGGAGGTGTTTCCTGGTTGTCTCAGGTTCAGACATGTCCAGGTCTCCGTCATGACGTTTCTTCACTGCGTGCTTTTATTGTGACAGCTGGAGAACATCCTGTTTCAGCCTCGGTGAGGTGTGGAGGCCTGAGGTGATGATCGGGATGTGATTTGGGTTAAAGTTGGCTCCGACTCGATCAGAGAGAAGCCCAGGACCATAGCTGGACCTCACGGAGACAAATGAGACCACCGTTCACACTCGGTTTGGAGTTTCCAACATGGACGTTTCTGTCTGTGGGAGGAGACCCACTGAAGTTTGAAACTTCATGTCTGCAGGAGGAGGCAGCTGTCTGCTGCGGGCCCACCGGGCCCAACATGAAACCAAACACTCAGCCGTCCAGTTGGCACCATGCTGCTTTTTATTGCTGAATTTCTGATACAGATTTTTATTAAGGTCTTACAAAACCAGACAAGAGGCTCACACAGAAGAAGCATGCCTACGTCCTCCTCTGGAGTGCATAGTTCCTACAGAGTCCACGGGTCCGTGTTCCTCAGAGCACAAGGTGCTGCTCAGCTACGTAAATGGGTCGGATCATCACAGAACACGTCAGTACATTTGTTCACATTACGAGGATTATTGCATGCAATACATTTCATTCAGTACTTTGAGAGTCCATGCATATTTTAATCCCCTACATCTACGGGGGGTTAGAAGAACAGACGGTGGCGAGGCGGGAAATAAAAAGTGCTTCTCACAAAAACAAACAACCTTCAGTAAGGTCTTCATGGAAATGACAGGTCTGAAGAGTTTCAATTTAAAGCTCTGTATTTTCAGAAGTTCTTGAATCAGACGGGAGGATTTCATCCTCTGAACTGAACACGTGTTGCTCCACAAGTTCTGATCAAACAATCGATGTTTGGGATCAAGTGGACCGCTCTGAAACCAGCGCACTAACTCAGCGGACATTAGAGCTTTAAATCAAAACTAACTCTACATTTCTGTCTCATGAGGCCGTTCTCTCTGAAAGTTCAGGTGAATTCTTCTGATTGATGTGAAATTACTTCTACAGTAGTCCCTTTATTATCGTGGGCGTTACGTTCTACACACCACCGCGATGGGTGGAAAAAGTAGGAACGCTAGATTTATTTTAATGTTTATATTTTAAGGCTTTGTAAACCCTCCCCACACTCTTGCAATGCTCTAAACTCTTAAACCTACAACATGTTAACATGCGTACATGTACTGTACAGTACTGCAAAATTTTACTCACCAGCTCCGTTCTGGTTCTGCAGACCTACCCTGCAGCGATGAAGTCCAGGTTGACGTGCACGTGGATAATTGAGCTTCAGGATCATTTGCAACTTTCCTGTCAGTTCTGTGAGCTTCATAGATCAATCGTTACTTTTGACTTTGCGTTGCAAAACTTTCCCTCCATTTCAGCAGAAGGAAGCGGCCGGAAGCACTGTTGGCTTCTGGGTAGTGTAGTTCTTTTGATTGGCGTTACAGTATAGGCTTATTGAATGAAAACTACAAAATGACAGCGCCTGTCTGAAGTTTTATTATTTTTCGTTAACTTTCTGTCCCGTACCATCCCAATCACGTGAGTAATACTAAAATTTATAATCGTTGAAAAAACGCGAGGGATTACTGTAAACAACTCTGGTGTATCATTACCAAACTTACCAAACCTAACCATGCTACAAAATAAAGGTGTTGATTTTAGAGCGGAGCAGTTTGCAGATTTATCTAAAGTTAGTCGGACTAACGCTCGCTTGTTTTCGTGGTCTGCGCGCCATCTTGGCCTACAGAACAGATTGTGGATGAAGCGAGCGTCACTACGGGTCATGCACGGCTACGATAGCGCTGGCACACAGTCCTGCTAAGTAAGCGAGCGCACATGAGTCTATACACATCTTAATGGAAGACGTTGGTGATTTTGTTGCTTTCGAACAACTCTTCACTTGTTTTTACAATTTACAGTTTGGTCACCATGACGGGATCATCGCAGACTCATGGAGGTTCTGTTTTATACATCTTGTGCTTTTCTGGCACGGCAGGAAACAAGCTGAGCTATGAGATGATGTTCCTACGGATCTTGAACCCGTCTCACATTCTGATCAGTTTCTGTGGAAGCTGTGGCCCCTGGGGGCCGCTACATGTTGGGATCAAACCGTTTCCACCAGCTTGTGTTGTTGCAGTGAGGTAGTGTTAAAAACTGGCACCATGTGGCGTCTCGTCGCGCCGGATGCAGCCATCAAACGTCGAGTCACAGTCCTTGATCTTTGCTACAGCGTGTCGTGTCTTTACAGGAAGTGGGAGCAGACGGTGTCTCGGCGCTTTGATCCGTCCCGTCGAGCGCAGGGACTTTAACCTCCATCCAGCCGGAGGAGAAGCTGTCGTTCCAGGCAGCAGCAGAGCTGGGTGACATGAAGTGACCTGGACAGAACCAGAACCAGAGTCTCAGCAGCGGTTCTCCTTCAGAACTAGGCTACAGACGCAGGACGGGGCCACAGTCCCTGAGAACAGCCGGGTTAGGGGCCCAGGACAGCAGATCTCTTCAGCTGAAGGTTCCAGTGGAGCTGGAGAAGTTCTGTTGGTGGTTCTGCAGCTTTAGCTTCCATCTGGCTGGAAATGGTTCCTAAAAATCCAACAGATGTTATTAATAACACGTCCCAACTGATGCACTTTAAAAACTCCAGAACCCCCAAACTAAAAGGCCCACTGACTGCATGTCACTCATGATGTCCCATCACATGGACACATGATGGAGGCGGAGCCCTTCTGGGTGATGTCACACTGTTTTACAGATGTGGAGCTACAACTTAGCTGAGATAAATACTTTATTAATCCCCATGAGGCATCCAGTAGCATATTATAATTATACAGAAAAAGCACATGAAGTAATCAAAAAGGAGCAGAATACACAAATATGTAAAAAGGCAATATGCACATGCTGGTAGGGAGAACTACATTCATGACTAACGTGTGTATACAGAGGTACAGCTGTTTGCTAATACTGATCAGCTGTGGCGGCCATATTGTGTCGACTCCATTTGATTGTTAGCAAAATATCTCATGCACCTCAGAACAGATTTAAAGGAGTCATTTAGAGAAAGTAAAGGTTCATCTACAGCTTAAGAACGTTTTGAGTCGACTCCATCAGTTTTAGACTAAAGTCCTGTTCAATGAGCAGCACTCGGTGTGTGTGCTGGGAATGAGTCTCAGCTACTACCACAGATCTGAAGGTTCTGGACTGAAGCTCGGACCTTACTGTGGCTGGGCAGAAGTGATGAAGGTCCTGGACTTCAGTTTGGACCCTGGTGAGGTTCGGTCAGAGATGTCTCCTCGCAGCTCCACAGAATGACGGAAAACAAAAGCCGGGTGCGATTCTTCCTCTGCTGGAACCGGAGCTTCATCGGCTCTCATCGTTCACAAAACCACCCGTGTCGTCGAGGACTCTCTTGGAGAAAAATGATCCAAACGTCCCAGCCTCCCTTCTCTCCCCCCAGCAGACATCGAGGAGGAGAGAAGGTCCTGTCGTCCTTCGAACACACTCCACCTCACGCCATCTTGGCTAAGCTAGTACAAGCTAACGGTTGTAGCGAAACCTGTCAATCACATCGAGATCCCGCCCCGGAAACACGAGTTTCAAGCTGTCAATCACAATAAGATCCCGCCCCGGAAACACGAGTTTCAAGCTGTCAATCACAATAAGATCCCGCCCCGGAAAACAGTAAATCCTGTCCGTCTCGGAAGCACGTTTTTTTTTTTACTCTTTAATACAAATGATCTTTGTTATAAAACCAAGACACGTTTCCACAACAACAATGTGGAATTTTAGATGTTTATATATCTGCTCTTTACTTTTACCTACGGGTATTTCACAGACCCTCCATAGTCCATCTGTCTCCATGTTGTCTGATTTGTTTTCCAGCCTTAATATATATGTATATTTTTGTCTGCTGGTGTTTCTGGTACTGATGTCTGTTTTTTGAATGTCCAGTGACCAGACTTAACTATTTCAGATGTCTGTTTCTGGTACTTCTCGTCTTGAGCATTTCATTGCATCGTTGACCTTGTGCTGATGACAACCCAAACCTGATGGTGCTCCCCCACCATGGCTCCTGGCACCACAGACCAATAACTAAAGCTCCATCGTCTGATGCATGCTCAATAGTCCACGTAGAAAAATCTAACAAAAGTCAGGACCTCCATAAGACTCCATCGTTTTGACGCAGTAAATGAGTAACCTCCACCCAACACACACACTAAACTAACAGGAAGTTGAAGCTGGCAGGACGTCCCTCTGGTGTTTGATGTTCAGTCAGAGGACAAACTTGTTTCCAACAAACGACAAGTCAGACTGGCACTTATTTTATTCAAATCAAGTTCAACAATCTCTTTTTACACCTAAACCAGTGAACACAAAGATTAAAACGGCTCAGACTACTCTGGTTTATGCTGTAAGACTATGCATTTAACATTTTTGATTCTCCTTAGTGGGAATAAATGATAAGACATGTGCTGAATAGTACTTGAATTAGCCACAGTTAAACTCCTGAACAGAAGCGTTTCACGATGTTAGTTATTGGATCAAAATCTACAAAGAGCTCCACCACCTGTACCTGTCTGCACAGGTGCTCCAGATGTTCAACTCTACATGAACACAGTCATTGATGAACTAATGATTCGTTAAGACTAAGTCTCAGATTCCCATGAGATACAGACACAGATGAACTAGTTGGTACCCGTACAATAATTTGGAAAAATGTTCATCTGCATGCATACAGTCCATGATGAACAGAAGATGTGAAGTGTTAGTATCTGAGGAGCCTTCAAGTCTCCATGAGCCTGTTGAAAGACAACAACCAGCCTCTGGTGCTTCGGTTCCGTTCACCGCCCTGAACCTGAAGCAGAGAAGAGCTGATTATAGATGTCCATGTTAAAGGTAAAGGCTTCATGCTCCTCTGACCACAGCTGACAAGATTAGTAAATAGTAGAAGGTTCACAGAACTCTAGACAACCTCCCAGGTTGTGGACGCAAGAGGTCATGCAACCCCAGGTTGAGTGTGTGGATGGTAGCAAAAAAGCCAAGGATCCAAACCACTGATGCTGAACTCCAAGATGGACGTCGCACTGAATCACGATGATGGAAGACGAGCCAGAAGCTCCATTAATGAGAAAAACAACATGTTGACGAGACTTAACGTTTCTGGCTTCTCAGGCGGTCACATGAGCCTTTTTGTAATTATTGTGGTCACATGAGCCTTTTTGTAATTATTGTGGTCACATGAGCCTTTTTGTAATTATTGTGGCCACATGAGCCTTTTTGTAATTATTGTGGTCACATGAACCTTTTTGTAATTATTGTGGTGAGGTACCAGCACATTTATCCATGTCTGTAAATCATTTCACAAGAACCAAACGGTGATGGCACGTCAGTGAGTCTGTGGAGCAGACTCCTCGCAGGGGGTTTGTCCTGCTGCATCCTGTTAACATTAAAAAACAGAATTTCACTAATCTGAGCTGAAGATGTTGAAGACGAGTCGATCAGGATGAGTTCGATTACCGAGTGCAGCAGCGGTGCTTACCACCACCGTCTAAAACTTCTAATAAATATGGCTGACAAAATGTTCATAGTGACAGACGAGGCACGACTTTTCCCTTTGACAGAGCGAAGGCAGAAACAGAACTGGAGACAAGACGGTGCGTAGTTGGGACACGGGCCACAGCAGCCCGCCGAGATCAGCTGAAAGTCCAATCTCTGCTCAGGATGAAAAAAAAACAAAAAAACCTTCATCTTAGTGAAGAAAGCGGATGCTCATTTTCTGTTCCACGTCCACCTTTTCCAAGACCTGAGAAAACAGAAAAACACGTTTATACTCCGGGACTGGGCCGACACGCATCACTCTGATGGTACGGACAGACAACACTCTACTGCACCTCTACAAAGACCAATGAGAGCTTCATCACATTCATGCACTGATGGGACACACGTCGGAGGCAATGAGGAGTTCAGCGTCTTGCCCAGAACACTTCAACATGTGACTGCTGCTGGAATCGAACCCCCAACTCTCCCATTGGAGGACGACTGCTCCAACCACTCAGTCACAGTTGCCCCCAACGTTGACGTGTAATGAATACTTAATAACAACAGAACCACTCGCCTTCATGAATTCATCGAAGGAAATGGAGTTATCTCCGTTGGCGTCGGCCTCCTGGATGGTCCGATCAGCGATGCTCCCGAGCTGGTCGTCTGAAATGTTTACCCCAACCATCATCCGCAGGACCTGGAAGGAACAGACGGGACACGGTTTCCCAACATGTTGTGGAAACTGGCTTAATGGAACATGGCACTGCAGCAACACACCATCATTTGTAGCTACTTTGGTTCTTTGACAAGCGTCTGAACTACAAGGCTCTAAATGACAGAGCAGACGTATTGAGTGAAAACAAACGGTACTTTGAGCAGCACATTTAATCACACAGGCTCGTGGATCAGGCGAGGCAGGTGACACTGGACTGTTTTGGGCCAAACAAGGTCTTTGTGTGAGTCATTGACCCAGCAGCCAATCACAGGTCACACAATGTCACTCCAAACCGAGGTGGCGTCACAAAGACACGACAAATAACACACAGAGCTGAAACACAAGGAACGTTTGGGACGGACCACCTGCGGTTAGGGTGAGACACGACATCATCATCGTCTTCTCATCAAAGTCCAGGCCCATGGGTCTAAACACAACAGGGTTTGGGTCCTGAACCTGAAGCAGGTCAGACCACGGAGCAAAATGTAAAACCTGTTTGAAGCGTAACATTCCCTGGAAGAACGCATATCACCTGCCGCTTTTCATGCTCTCGGTTTAAAACGAAGATCTTAGACACAATGGAGTCGTTTTGGTCAAACCTTCAAAGTAAGTCGATAATAAGGTTCACTTTCAGAGTTGCATTAAAATCCGTTTTGTGGTTTGTGATATTTTGCTAACAGACAGGAACCTAAGGGGCCTTAGGTGACAGGCTGTAACACGAGGTGTACCACAAGGCTCAGTCTTAGGACCCACCCTCTTTACAATCTTCATAGGTAATGTAGGTCAGAGCATCCCTGATGCATCCATACATTTCTGTGCTGATGACACAGTTGTTTATTGTCGAGCTAAAACTGTTGCTAAGGCTTTCCAGCTTTTGCAATCCGCTTTTGACATCATCCAGTCAGATTTGTTCCGCCTCAAACTTGTCCTATAAAACCAAAGGGATGCTTTTTACAAACAGGAAGTCAGTCGCATCAGTTCTTCCTGTGATTTTAGCTTTTAATGGTGCCCCCATTGAGTTTGTCGATTCCTATAAATATTTGGGTATCTTAGTCGACTCGCATCTCTATTTTAAGCTCCATGTGGAAAACTTGGTAAAGAAACTGAAAGTTAAACTGGGTTTCTTTTTCAGAAACAGATCCTGTCTAACCCTGAACGCTAGGAAACGTCTTGTATCTGTGACTTTCCTTCCCTCCATCGGCTACGGTGACATTATATGAACACTCCTACAAGAACCCTGCAGATGTTGGACACTGTCTATCACGGTGCACTAAGATTCATAACTGGCTGTAACCATCATACCCACCACTGCACCCAGTATTCACTGGTTAACTGGACATCATTAACGTCACGCAGACTCTCTCACTGGTATATTGAATGAATGAAAAAACACCTGACTTTAACAAACGGAGGTGACTCACCTGCAGCAGCTCGTCCCGAGAGATCTTATCGTCTCTGTCCAGATCATAAAGACGGAAAGCAACTGAGGAGAAGAAACGAGTCATGAGCGACGGACCAGTCGTCAGAGACACCCCCCCCCACCCCTTCAGGGACTTACAGAGCAGCTTGTTGGTCCTGCTGTTCAGGGGCTCAGGGGTGGGGAGGTTCTTGTTCTTCTCGTTGTCCTCAATGGGCCTGAAGTGAGCCAAGGTGCGCATAAAACCTCTGAAGTTCACCTGGTCCTCCCTTCACACATCAGAATCAGTTTATTATTGCCATGTCAATGAACGAGGTTCACAAACTAGGAATTTGCTTCGACATAAGGTGCGAATAGTAGTAAAGTAAAATAAAGTAAAAATTAAGTAAAAATGAGAACATTACATAAGACATAAGCCTGTGTACACCCACAAATAAAGTAAAATTAAAAAACATAACATAACCATGTGTACACCCATATAATAGAAAACAATAAAAAAGCTTAGAGAACAGTACAGATGGAGTATTCAATTATAATACAGATGTAATGTGACCAAAGCAGAAATTATGAGGTAGCATTAGGAGTGTTCAGGAGTCCAACAGCAGAGGGGAAGAAACACATCAGGTAACATTCTGAATCAAGGACACGGCTTTTCTTTGGGTCAGGTGACTCTTTACTCAGAATAAAGCAGGACAGGAAACACAACACCTCTGAAGGGTTCAGCTCGCTCAAAAAGCTAAATCCAGAGACACGAGATCGGTGTTCCTGTCCTGGTTTACTTTATTGCTTATTTGACGAAAGCAGGTCAACACAAGGTCAACAATGTAATGAAATGCTCAGGATGAGAAGAACCGGCTCGACTCACAAAAAGCAACAAGAAATACCAAAGCATGCAACAAAAATACAAAAAGGAGAAATACAACATCTACAAGGTCCAAACGAAATAAACATGACAGACCTTCCATGATTAACCTTAAAATGACAGAATTTAGAGCCAACAGGAAGTGAAAATAATCAAATGAAGCACGACTGGTTCGTCACCTGGATACAACGAGACTCATGATTTTCTGAGAAATCTCTTAAAATGACGTTTTTAATCATCAGTGGATGTTTCAAAAGGCTGAACTCACCCCTCAGGAAAGAAGGCGTTGATGATTCGGTCTCCCAGAGGGTTGATGGCCAACTCAGGAATTCTCTGGAAATCTTCCCGACTGGACAAAAACAAGAATACTTTCAGAAGAACCACTCGACCCTTCAGCAGCAGAACCTCTGACATTCTGAAGAACATCCCGATGATATTTTAGCTCCTCTTGTTGGAAACACACATCACAGAGAGAACTCTGTGGACTTTACAAAGTCCAGCTATTGAAGATGGCCTCAGAAGAACTTCTTATCTTTTCACCTGTAGACCCACATCAGAGACGACAGGAAGTGTCTTCAACAAGATGATGACCTGAACACCAGGACCAACTTCAGCCCGGACCAGATCTGTTCTTGCTGCACTTTTGTCTTCCCACAACTTCTTTCAAGTTCCATGACATCTTCTACAGACAGAAGCCTGGTTCTGTGGGATCTCCAGGATCACTGGTCATGGTCAGTCTCTACATGGAGGTGGTTCAAACATCTGGTAAGGATGGACCCTGGACACCTCACTAGGAAGATGTTCTGGTCATGTCCAACTGGGAGGAGACCATGGGGAAGCTGCCCCCAAGACCCGAGTCCAGAACCAGAGGATGCATGATGGTTCTGTTTTTCCCACGAGGGTCACCTTCAGCAGGTCTCACACCTCAGATGAGTGTTTTGTAAACTCTGTTGTGGCAACGAACAGCTGATAAAACGTGACTGAAACCACAGGAAGTAAAAACTTGTTTTGTGTAAACACGAGTCAGACCCGACACTTCTTGTCCCCGACCTCAGACAGACCTGCAGCCGGCACCAAAGTTTAAACTAAACTATTATTTGATTAATATTTATCTAGTAATCACCCATTACCCTCTGTAGAGCGGGAAATGAACATGACTGAGGTCACACACAAGACAGGGCAACACAAGAACTAAAGTCTAAACATTTTCCAGATGTTGGTGTGGTAGTAGCTGACAGTCATCCGCAGGTCATGAGAGATGGTTCCTGTTTCTGGGGGCTCCCATTACAAAACTACAGTGAACAAGATTTTAACACATTTTTTAAAACCTGTCAAAAGACATTTTTAAAGTCCAGACCTAACCTCCATGTTTGAAACCACAACATCTGCTGAAGGATTTCCAGATGTTCGTTACCTTAAGGTCCCGTTTTCTCCTTTATCCAGGCTGGTGAAGCGGCTGTACAGGCGGGTGATCTGGCTGTGAGAGACTGAAAACACAAACACGTCACAACCAGGACAGCAAGACAC